GCAGGAGCGCCTCAGACACATTGGCCCCTGGGAGACTCGAGCCTAGTGCGGGAGGCGTCCAGCATCGGGGGCGGGAAGACGGCACTGCGTGGGGTTTGCACGGGAGAGAGTACAAGGAATGCAGCGGAAGACGGCGGAGTACAGCGCAGCACGTGTCCTCTCGAGCGCGAGTTAAAATCACGTATGCAGTGTACAGGAATGCGTCCGCCCCTTCTAGGCTCTCGAGGTGTGGGGAGATATGGGGAGATCTTCCCCTTCTAGGCTCTCGAGGTGTGGGGAGATATGGGGAGATCTTCCCCTTCTAGGCTCTCGAGGTGTGGGGAGATATGGGGAGATCTTCCCCTTCTAGGCTCTCGAGGTGTGGGGAGATATGGGGAGATCTTCCCCTTCGAGGCTCTCGAGGTGTGGGGAGATATGGGGAGATCTTACCCTTCTAGGCTCTCGAGGTGTGGGGAGATATGGGGAGATCTTCCCCTTCTAGGCTCTCGAGGTGTGGGGAGATATGGGGAGATCTTCCCCTTCTAGGCTCTCGAGGTGTGGGGAGATATGGGGAGATCTTCCCCTTCTAGGCTCTCGAGGTGTGGGGAGATATGGGGAGATCTTCCCCTTCTAGGCTCTCGAGGTGTGGGGAGATATGGGGAGATCTTCCCCTTCTAGGCTCTCGAGGTGTGGGGAGATATGGGGAGATCTTCCCCTTCTAGGCTCTCGCGCCGCGGAGGGCGTCGCACGCGGCTATATCTCGGCTATATCTCGGCTATATCTCCGCTATATCTCGGCTACATCTCGCGCCGCGGAGGGCTTCGCACATGCTGCAGCGACGCTCGCTCGAAATGTTGCGGAACGTGCAAGCAGCGCACGCCTAAGGGGAGAGGGGCTCAGTCGGGGTGAGGGCTGAGCTGGCAGAGGGTTGCGGAGCGTGCACGCAGCGCGCACCCACTCTCCCTCCGCCTCCGCCTCCGCCTCCCCCTCCGCCTCTCCCTCCGCCTCCCCCTCCCCCGGGCCACGCCAGGCGCGCCTCTGCTGTGAGGAGCCGCTCGCCCGCCCCCTCGCGCCCTCCCCCTCCTCCCCCCCTGCCCCCTCGCCGCCCCACCCGCCCCCCTCGCCGCCCCACCCGCCCCCCTCGCCGCCCCACCCGCCCCCCTCGCCGCCCCACCCGCCCCCCTCGCCGCCCCACCCGCCGCCCGCGCAGCTCGCCGGCCAGTCGCCAGCGCCCGCCGCTGACGCCCCCCAGCCAGCCTCGCGAGGTCTCGAGCCGTCCTTCTCGCCCCCCTCGCCCCCCTCGCCCCCCTCGCCCCCCTCGCCCTCCCCACCGCCCTCCTCGTCCATCGACGGCCGCGGCGGAAGGCGGCCGTACCTGCAGGGGAGATATGGCGAGATATGGCGAGATATGGGGGAGACATGGGGAGATATGGCGAGATATGGCGAGATATGGGGGAGATATGGGGAGATATGGCGAGACATGGCGAGACATGGCGAGACATGGCGAGACAGGGGAGAGATGGGGGAGAGATGGGGGAGAGATGGGGGAGAGATAGGGGAGAGATAGGGGAGATCTGAAGAGATCTGGGGAGATCTGGGGAGATATGGCGAGCCATACCCGCCGCCCGCGAGCGGAGAAGGCGGCGGAGGCTCGCCCGCCGCGCCGCCCTCGCCGAAGAAGTCCTCGCCGAAGAAGCCATCCTCCTCCTGAGGAACACAACGACGCACTCCTTTAGTACGGACTGACTGACGTGCCCCCGGCCCGGACAGCTGCCGTCGTCCGCCTCGTCGCTAAACTGGCCCAAGCCCGCGCTGCCCACGGCGGCGGCGGAGGCGGCGGCGGAGGCGGAGGCGGAGGCGGAGGCGGAGGCGGAGGCGGAGGCGGCCGCGCGTTGCCGCTGGTCCGCTCTCTCCTGCCTGCCCGTCTGCAGCAGTGAGTCCATCTCTTCGATAGTCTGGTCGACCACCCTGCAGGCCCAGATCGTGGGGAGATGTGGGGAGATGTGGGGAGATGTGGGGGAGATGTGGGGAGAGGTGGGGAGAGATGGGGAGAGATGGGGAGAGATGGGGAGAGATGGGGAGAGATGGGGAGAGATGGGGAGATGTGGGGAGGTGTGGGGAGGCGTGGGGAGGTGTGGCGAGATGTGGCGAGGTGGGGTGAGATGTGGGTGAGATGTGCGGAGTTATGTGGCGAGATATGGCGCGCCTCC